CCGGCAACCCCGGCCGGAGCGCGGCTCAATTCCTGGGGGCAGGGCTCGCAGCAACGCCCCACCCCCAGGAACTCGGGCCCCGCTCTTGCTAAAGCCGGCCCTGTCCACAGACTTTATAAGTCAACTCTCTATGCCATTATCCAAATAATTTATGAAGATAGTGAATAGAAACATACCCAAGACAGATCCCTGCAGGACCCCACTTGATATGCCCTTCCAGCTTGACTGTGAACCATTGATAACTACTCTCTGAGTATGGTTTTCCAACCAGTTGTGCACCTACCTGATAGCAGATTCCCCAGGCTATATTTCCCTACTTTGTTTATGAAAAGATCATGTGAGACAGTATCAAAAACCTTACTAAAGTCAAGATATATCACATTTGTAGTTTCCCCTCCCAATCCATAAGGCAGGGGTTCTCAGACTTTTGTACTGGTGACCCCTTTCACATTGCAAGCCTCTGAGTGTGACCCCCTTATACATTAAAAACACTTTTTAATATATTTAACACCATTATAAACACTGAAGGCAAAGCGGGGTTTGGGGTGGAGGCTGAGAGCTCACAACCTCCCATTTAATAGCCTCGCGACCCCCTGAGGGGCCCCGACCCCCAGTTTGAGAACCCCTGCCATAAGGCTTGTTACCCTGTCAAAGAAGGATAGTAGACGGATTTGACATGATTTGTTCTTAACAAATCCAAGTTGACTGTTACTTATCACCTTATTATCCTCTCTAACACGATCTAACATGTAATCTACCACTGAAATCCAAGAAAAATGGATGTTCAAATCAGAACTTGCCTTGACTCTGGGGGAAAGCCAAGAGGCCTGGGAGACGTTTTAAAATGCTGGATTTGTAGCCAGGAAGTGAGGGGTCCTTCCGCAGCTGAACAGGTTTGTTAGTAGAAAGAGGGGACAATAATTTTCCTACCGAGAACGGAAATGCTTTACAAATGCCAGCAGAAAAGGAAAGGTTGTAGATACCTTAGGTACAGAGGCTTAAACAATTACAGTTCAAACAGAGCGATGGCAGTAAATGTTTGGGCCCCTGGGACAGTCCAGTCGAGAGTCAGGGCTTGTCCCGCCTTGTGCTTGGGGTGCCCTGTCCAGTCCAGTCTCTATTCCAAGCAAATAGGAACTTGTAGGTTTCCAGGCCAGGCTCAGTTAGTGTCTGTCATTGGGGCCCCTCTGTGGTGGGTTCCTGCCCAGCCACTGCTGCTCCCCCGTAAGTCCCACATGGCTCTGTTCCACACATATGGTTCCTGGGAACTCCACTCTGAATTCAGCTTCTCTCCAACTCCCTGCTTGCCAAGCGGCTGCTGTTTCAGTTTCCCTGCAGCCACTTACTTGCCATGTGACTGCCGCTTCCTTACCTGGCCAGGAGGAAGGGGATGTGCAGAGGGGACTGATGGGAGTTGTAGTCCCCAGCTCAGCAGACCCATCATAGGAGTTTGGCCCGAGTTTCATTGCAATGTGCCCCTATATGTCTTATGCAGTGTGCTTTAATCTCCAGCTGTCACCCCTCGCACTGAATCACAGGCAGTGGATGCTGCACCAGGCAGTGCATCACTAGCGTCCAGTGCTGCTTTCACAGCATGGAACAGCACAGCTCTGTTCTTTAAAAATGAATGTCCAGCCCTTTTCTCTGCACGTTCTTCAGCTGCTTTTCCACCTCTGGAGAGAAGTCGTTCAAACCTAGCCTAGAAGACAAACAGAAAATATCCAGGGTTACCCGCCGGTAACTCATATCACAAATGAATAGGACTCTGCTATTGCTCTCTGTTAGGTATTTATATGGCTCTATTCTCAGTCTTAGCATATTTATCCGTGCAGCACCCCTAGGAGGGGGTGTAATCTACAGCGCATTAGCCCGCTGTGCACTGACTAGCCGTGTGAACCTTGCTACTGCATGATGAAAGCTCCCTAGTGCACTTTGACCTACACCCATTTCAAAGCAGAGCAGGTCAATGTGCACTAAGGAACTCTTAGCATGCAATAGTAGGGTCCGCACGGACACTTAGTGTGTGGCACACTGGTGCGCTGTAGGTATATACTCCAGCATGCCGCGCATTCACTGTTCTTCTAGACAAGTCCTATGGGTAAAATTTGCAAAAGCATTCAAGTGACTTAGGATCCCAAATCCCATTTTTAAACATGGCTCAGGTGCCTAAGTCTCCATGGAAGTCAACAAAACCTTAGTATCGTTTAAAGTCAGTTTTGGAAATGGAACTTTAGGGGCTTTTGAAGAGTTTATCCTAAGTGACTTGCCCACAGAAAGTCTGTGCCAGAGCAAGGAAATGAATGCTGGTCTCTCAAGCCAGCATCCTAACCACTGCATAATCTTTCCACTTGTTACCCAGCAACCCTGGTCTGCAGCACTACCATATTACTGGTTATGAGGGCCACAGAGACATGGAATATCTTTCTTCCATGATTAGTCTCTATGTACAGAACTCTACGATTTCTGTCTTTCCAAGGTGTAGAAGTTCTTTTCTGTGTCCCATATTGTTGCTACTCTAAGAGAACAGCTGTTTTCACTGCAGGAATCATTGTGTATTATTGTTATTTGCTAAGCACTGACAGCGTGCTTGGCATTATAAAAAACACAAACAGAAACCCAGTGTGCCAGTTTATACCATTATGTTCACAACTTTTACAACACTATGATAAATTTTGTACAAAGAATGCCTTGTGGGGTATCCTTTCAAAACACATAATCTGCTGAACATGATTATCCTGGTAAATATGTGTTTCAACATTGTATGTAAAGTTATAAGATTTTACTGCATAGCATTTCTGTAACATGCTCCAGAGTTAGAAAAGCGGGCCCAAACAAGTTTTTTAGAGACAAAAGACACACTGATGTCACAGCCAGGTATCAGCATAATCAGATGGCCTACTATGGGCTATCACCTAGTCTTCTTAATATATGCACAACATGCCTCAGGTGGCACGTGACCAGGATTCATCACCAAATTTGGTCCGCTGGTTGGATCATTAGCTTCCCTGGCCTGGGCCAGGTACTGATGGGGAATGCGACACAAATGCTGATCTATGCCCCCCATCACCTAGTTAAGCAACTATTCTTTGGCAGGAAGAAGGGAGTGAGCAAGAACTTTATATATTGACAATGAAACAGCTGGCAGTCATGTGTAAAAAGACTGGCTGTCGCCTGGACCCCAGCTGGAGATAATCCTCAAAGAGTGGAGTGGTATAAAAATACAGGAGACACACAACACAATTCACCTCTCTCCTCCTATCGCTACTCACGGCAGCTATAGTGCTTCAAAGACAAAAGGAGCATCATTGAACTGGGAGAGGGGTCCTGGCAGGAGGCTTTTCAGCCAGTACAGACTGCTGTAAGCTTTTGGTGAGAAAAAGAACCATTTTGCTTTTTTAAGTTCACTTAGCTTGTTAAGTTAGGTATTAGCTTGCGGTTTAATCTTTTTATTTTCTTTGCAACCAATTCTGACTTTTATGCCTCATTTCTTGTAATCACTTAAAATCTGTCTTTTTGTAGTTAATAAGCTTGTTTTATTGCTTTATCTATACCAGTGGGTGTCTGTTTGGGAATCTTCACTTGAGATAATAGGGCCTGTGCATATCATTTCCCTTTGATGCAATGGCAGACTTTCTATGAGCTTGTTGGGCAGAACATTTCTGGGGGACAAGGCTGGGACTGGGAATTTGCTGGTGTCGCTCTGCAATACAATTCATGAGTGGCTGGCATAGCATTCATGAAACATAGCTGGGAGTCATTTTGCATGCTAAAGGCTGTGTGTGAGCAGGACCCAAAGTGGTTGCTTTCACAGCAAACCAGTGTCAAAGGCATCCCAGGTTGGAGACGAAGGGGATACAGCTGTTCAACAGTCCAGATTGTACCCTGGGGAATGTCACACCCAGTCTTTCCCCTGAAGAACATGAAAACTACAAAAGGAGCCACAACTGCAGATGAAGAGGGTTTCCAGGAGGAATTTAACTGCAGAGTGCAGCAAGCCCAGCATACTGGGACAATGAAGACATTGAAGAAGTCGCAAAGACAAAGAGTGGGAGAGAGAAACAAAGAGCGCACCCTGGCAGAACGAAGGTGGTGAGGTGGATGTGCTACATCAGCATTTCCCAAACTGTGGGTCATGCCCAGGGGGTTTGCAAAAGGGTACCAGGGGGGTCGCAAGACTCCTGCGTCTCCTGTCCCCTGGCACTGACTGGGCTCAGCTCCCCACTCTGGGTGTTGCGGCCTGGCTGCTGGTGCACAGGGTCACAATGCCACTCACTCAAATTTAGCCTGGCTGCCCCCACATTGGGGGACCTGGCTAAACCTGAGTGGCGCTGCAACCCTGTGCGCCAGGGGCCAGGATGCAGAGTGGGGAGCCAAGCCCAGCCAGTCTTTTGGGACAACAGCTGCAGGAGCTACTGGTGCGGGGGTGAATGCAGGCTGGGCTCACTCTGCAAATCCCATCCCAGGCCTCCCATCCCCAGAAGACAGCACCTGACACCCTCTAGGGCCTCCTTTTCCCCCTCCCCCGGAAGCAGCACCTAAAACCCACCTGGGACTCCCACCTCTTGGGGGAAGGACCAATCCCACCTTAGCCTGGGCCCCCACCTCTCAGGCCCCTGGAGTCGTGTTAACAGATGTGAGTGCAAAGTGGGTCGGGGAATGTCAAAGTTTGGGAACCACGCTGCCAAGAGCAGAGCTTTAGGCCGGAGCAGCACTGGGGAGAGATGTGAAGTGAGACTCTGAGAGGTGATTGGGTTAAACGGGAGAGGCGTGATGGAGTCGAACTGGCAGGCCAGTCAGGTGACTTTGGCTGCATTCTGAATAGACCGGGGAGGGGCAGGACTGGGAAGGCACCACAGTGGTGGGGGTGGTATAAAAATCCAGAAAGCTGGGAGGGCAGAAAGCAGGAGGGTGGAATAGTCAGGAGTACGCCAGCTCAAGTCCCTGTGATCAATCTTTGTAGAGACAGAAAAGGTCCCTTCAATGCGATGTCCACACAGCCCTGTAAAGCTGCCAAACTCCCCCCCCCCCCCCACAAGGCCTTCACAGGTGTTTGGCCACTGAGTCACTGGTCTCTGGCAAGGACCACCAAGACAGCCTAAAGACGGATGTGCAACGCCAACTCAGCTGGGTGGTGACAAGTGCTGAACGGACATCACTGGAGTCTGATTCCTCGGCAGATTCCCAGAACAAGCAAAGCACAGGAAGCCCTCATGCCATTGCCATGTGCACTGGCACCAGCCGGTGCCTCATCCCTTACCCGGCAGGAACTTCGAGTGCTGAGAGAACCGGCCGGGTTTGGCAGCCCATGTCTTCCTTGGTTTCTCTGCTGAGATTGCCAGCAGACCGGGGTGGGTGATGCCAGTTTGGGTACTGACTGTTGTGATGTGATACTTGTCCACTAGGGAGTGGTTAAAAGCACCAAAGTTTGTGACACGGATCACCAAGCAGCCATGGGACAGCAGTGACCTTTGGTCCCACCAACCAGGATTGGATCCATTCCCAGTCCCCTGAGGCATCTCTCCCCAATCAACCTCTCCATAACCAAGAATAAAGAAAGTACGCACCAGGTTTGCACAGGCAAAGGGCATATCAAGAGGAGAAAAGAAAACAAATTTGCTGTGTCTGCCCTGCAGGACGAGCCGGGGTCGCCACCTTACCTGATCTCAGTGAGGCTGGGGCACGTCAGGATAAGAAGATGCACTTCTTCAGCACACCGATCAGTGAACATATTCGCACTCAGGTTCAGATGCCGGAGGCTGGAGTTTTTGGAGAGAGCAGAGCAGAGGCTCCTGCAGGATTCATCTGACAAACCAGTTCCCTGGAGGCTGCAGCAGAACATCGGACACATACCTTAGAGAAAGGCTGCAGCACAGCATTGACAGGGCTTCCTGCATTGTCTGGCTGCCGATGTCTATCTCTGTGTCTATGTCCATCTCCCCACCATCCTCACTTTGCCTCCCTCTGCCTCGCTTCCTCTTTCTGCTAATCTCACAACGTATGCAGAATCACACAGGTTTAACAAATCTAAAGCTGGCACGGGGGCTGTATCCATATTAGCAGGGACTCTTCACCATGCTAATTCCTAATCCACAATCCACTAGATGCATAGACTCTCAGACCAGAAGGGACCATTAGGATCATCTGGTTTGACCTCCTGCACAACATAGCCCAGTGGTTTTCAAACTTTTTTTCTGGGGACCCAGTTGAAGAAAACTGTTGATGCCTGCAACGCAACGGAGCTGGGAATGAGGGATTTGGAGTGTGGGAGGGGCTCAGGGCTGGGGCAGAATGTTGGAGGTCAGGGCTCTGGGCTGGGGGTGCAGGCTCTGGGGTGGGGCCAGGGATGAGGGGTTTGGGGTGCAGGAGGGGCTCTGGGTTTGGGGGGGCGTCAGGGGTAGAGCAGGGGGTTGGGGTGCGGGATGGCGTCAGGGCTCTGGGCTGGGGGTGCAGGCTCTGGAGTGGGGCCAGGGATAGGGTGACCAGACGTCCCGATTTTATCGGGACTGTCCCGATATTTCCTTGTTTGTCCCGCGTCCCGACCGACGTGCGGTCGGGACACTGGACAAACAAGGAAATGCCCCGGAGCCTAGAGCCCGGAAGTGCTCGCA